TCTACAGATACAGGCATGTCTTAATAAGGAAAAGTCATAAAACAAAAAAAAGTATCTATTAAGTGATAGTTGTTTTCACAAAGTAAAGTTTCCCAAATTAGAGATAACGAATGGTTTGGCAGATCTAAAATAGCAAAATTATATTACTAAATCAACAATATTGCTGTTTTTGTTAAGACATAAGATCAAAACAAATTCAGCCATATGATTGATAAATATATCCGGGTATCCAGATTCATTCCGGGTGTGCTACAAGGACCCAAATAGGGGACCCAAGGCATGGGACATGTGAGGTGTCACCATCCGGTTGCATGATATACTGTTCATAAACAGTGCATCATGCAACCGGATGGTGACAACTCACATGTCCCATGCCTTAGGTCCCCTATTTGGGTCCCTAAGGCATTAATGTCTTGTCAATACTCATCTTCGAAAAATTAAGACTCATCCTCGAAAAATTAGTACTATGCATTTACTTCATTGTGTTTTCTCATTTTAATAAAATAGCTATAAAAACAGAAAAACACAAGATTATTTAATTTTATGGCTTAAGTGCACCTTTAACATATAGCTTATAGTTTTCCCTACTTTGCACTTATATATCCTCAATCGTTTCGGTAGCACTTATATATTGTGACTTTAACAGTAAGTTTAATAAAAATTAAGGGTTAAACTTTTGGATATATAAATGCTGCCGAAAAACAAGTCCACGGTATACATCAAGTTCTATATTGGGTTTTATTACTTGGGTCCAAATCTATTATTTAGCACATATAGATTTCTGGAGTGCTATATAAACTCCTTCTGATGTAACTTGTATTCTATCGCCTCACATATAATAAAATTGCTCTCTCTCTCTCTCTCTCTCTCTCTCTCTCTCTCTCTCTCTCTCTCTCTCTCTCTCTCTCTCTCTCTGCTCATGGACGTAGCTAACACAACGTTAGTGAACCACGTAAATCTGTGTCTTCGATCTTCACTTTCTTGTTATTTTTCTCGCATCCGTTCCAACAAACTGGTATCAGAGCTCGGTTCTGAATGCGGTGAGAAAGATGTCTGGTGCTTTGAACGTGAATATCGACAAGTTCAATAGGAGAAACGGGTTCAGTTTATGGCAGATCAAGATGTGCGCTTTGCTAAAACAGCAAGGCCTCTGGGCACCGCTTTTGAACGAAAAATCAAAAGCAATTGATGATGATGAGACGACCATTCTCGAGGAGAAGGTGCATTCAACCATCATGTTGATGCTATCCGATGAAGTTATCACGGAAGTTGCCGATGAGGATACTGCCGCTGGTCTGTGGTTGAAGTTGGAGAGTCTTTACATGACAAAATCTTTAACCAATAAGTTTTTTCTGAAACAACGTTTGTTTAGTCTCCGTATGCAAGAAGGTATGCCCCTTAAGGATCACTTAGATGAAATGAATACGATTTTACTCGAATTGCGAAATATCGAAGTTAAAATCGATGATGAGGATGTTGCGTTGATTCTATTGGTATCTTTGCCCTTGTCGTATGAGAATTTTGTGCAATCTTTTATTGTTGGGAAAGATTCCGTCTCTCTAAAAGAAGATAGGTCATCGCTTCATTCTAGAAAATTACGCCATAAGTTTGCTGGTGGAGTTATACATCAATTTGCTGGGTTAGTGGCTACTGCTGGAAAAGGTTAGGGAAAATCTAACAAAAAAAAGGAAAAATTCAAAATCAAAGGGTCCTAAGCCCGGAAATATCAGTAACTACTTTAAGGAACCCTGAACACTGGAAGAATGATTGCCCTAAGAAGAAGAAACAACAGGAAAATAAACAAGCTTCTCCTGCTGTTGCACAAGACACCAATTTGGAGGATGGTCTGGCATTGGTTGCTAACGAATAGTTACATCCTATCAATAATTGAGTTTTAGATCCTGGATGCTCATACCACATATGTCCAAGCAGAGAGTGGTTTACAACTTATCAAAAGCTAGATGGAGGAAATGTTGTTATGGGTAATGACGCAGTCTGCAAAACAGTTGGAATCGGTTCGATCAAGATTAGGGCACATGATGGTGTAGTTCGTACACTTACTGATGTCAGACATGTTCCACAGATGAAGAAAAATCTGATATCACTTGGTGTTCTGGACAAAAAGGGATATCAGTTCCGAGGTGAAGGTGGAGTTTTGTGTGTTTGTAAGGGTGATTTAGTGATACTGAAAGGTATCAAGCAGCATACCTTGTATGTCCTACAGGGTTTGACAGTGACCGGTTCTGCTGCTGTAGCATCTTCTTCAGAAAATCGCCAATTTGACATAGCCAATTGTGGCACATGCGACTTGGCCATATGGGCGAAAGGGGAATGCAAATTCTGTCCAAGAGGGATCTTCTTCAAGGCCACGATATTAAAAATCTTGAGTTTTGTGAGCACTGTGTCTTCGGGGAACAACATCGCAGCAAGTTTGGCAGGGCAGTTCACAGGACTAAGGGCACTCTTGATTACATCCACTCTGATTGTTGGGGTCCATCCCGTGTTGAGTTCTTGGGGATCCTATGCTTCCTCTCGTGATTTCTTGGCGGCGGCGGCTTCTCCTCCTTCTCTCTCTCGCGTTTTCCCCCTGGCGGCGTCCCCCCCTTTTCTTCTCTTCTTCTGCCCTTTTTTCTCCTGCTGATGTTTTGAGGGAGGATTTTAAGAAATGAAAATTTATTTAAGAGAGAGAGAATTGGAGTTTAAGAGAGAGAGAGAGGGGGGGGAGAGAGAGAGAGAATTAGAATTTAAGGGGATTTAAGAAGAGGATCTCCATTGTAGCTATAGTGTTGATTGTTGCATTTATTGAGAGATCTCAAGTTTGAGATCTGCTCTTACATTGTAATTTCTTGTTGATTAATAAGAAATTAATTGTGTGGCTCCCTAGGACGTAGGCAAGTTTGCCGAACCTCGTTAAAACTTCGTGTACTTTTCTCTATACCGCGTTTCTGTTGTTTTAGGAGTTTTCGGCGAAAATTCTTAACGATTAATTCCAGTTTTCTTGATTGTGACAATAATCTACATAAATGAGATTACGCAAGATTTTTATCCAAAAGGAGTTAATCTCCCAAAACTTCATTTAGACCGGCAGCTTCAATGTATTAGGGTCCATATGTTGCGATACGGTAGTTGGAGTATTACTGGGATTTGGATCCTCTCCCGATCCCACAAGTACTTAAAAATACCCCAGAATTTTGTTTCTCTAAAATGTACCCAAAAGTTCAAGAAAATCTAACTTTGACACCCTAAAATAGCTTAATATAAGTCCTATTAGAAGTATCGCTATAGGAGTTGATTGGTTTTAACCCTGAAGTGAGAAATTAAACTTCCAATTTAACCCTCTAACGAACCGCGAATGACACATGGCCCCCTATTCTAATGCGGTTGTTCTGAAAAACTTCTTAATCCTTAACCGGGGGTGCGATATATAATTATTTTTGAACTTTGGAATATTTTTCGGGATAAAACTTCAGTCATATCAAAGTTAAAAATTGGGTGAACTTTGTGTAATTTGCAAATAAACAAATTTAAATTAGAGAAGTCCTAGAGGTGTTGAGATTGAATATTTAAACATTAGGAATTGAAGCTAAACATGATCTTGTAGTTATACTTCTTCTTTGGAGACACACTGGCCTCCTCTTCCAACTACTTCTAACGCGCTAGAGGATTGTCCAGCGACCGTGGATTTTTTTTTTTCCCTGGCCTAAAATTTAGGATTACCGTCAAAATAGGTTGTTCATAAATATTTGTTTCTGAAGAAAGATCTCCCGTCATAAATATTTTTTGCAATTGATTACATCGCTTATTGTAGGATATCATGAAAAATAAAATCTTTTTAGTTCTGATAGCTACAGGGGAGAAAATTCATTTGTTTCTGTAATGAACCAAAATATCATGACAAATTTTATTATATTTTTATTTTATCTAAGAGTTCTCATAGAAAAGATTACTTTATCTCGAAACAACAAAAAAATTCTTTTATAATCAGCACTTCAAAATTTCAAACTAAAAGACCATTGTTAATCATCTTTTTTTTCCTTTTTCTTTTTTTTTACCTTTTTTGGAAAGGAAAAAAGCAGTGCGAGGTGCCCTACTCATAAACTATATATTAAGACTATAAAATTTTATGCAAAAGAAATGCTGAGAAGTGAGCTTCTTAAGCTCCATTATGTTTATTACAGAACATGTGATAACCATCAGGTTGCGTTTTAGGGATTCGGATCCTCTTCACTACAAAAAAAAAATAGTGGAGAGACCACTACATAATCACAGTCATTGATTATCTAGTTGATGGTTATAATTTTTTTAGTGCAAATTAGGAATGAGTGCAATACAAGGGGGTATGGTAACTGTTAGATTTAGAGTGTATCATAACCGCCTACTAAATAATCAACGCTTGAGATTAAAAGTAGTGGTCTCTCCACTACTTTTTTGTAGTGGAGAGGATCCAAATCCTGCGTTTTAGAGGATGAGGAGCAGGCCGATGGTTGTCACCTATCGCAAACTAAGGCACAAACAAATAGCATCTCAAAAAATCCATAATAAACATAGAAGCTTGAGGTATCGCATAAGCAAAAGCATCGCCCACAACCAACGACTACATCCATAGTTTTCATGCTTGCAACAAATGAGAAGAAACTAAGAAAGCAAGAGAAGCGATGAGGCTGTATAGTGTTAGCCTTTGAAGCTACTTCTTTATCCGCATCACTCTAATCTAATTAGTAAATTTATAATTTAAGACAGTTTTCCAAAAAATTTCCTAATATTCCTTTGTCCATCAACAAGGTTTTGTAAACCTACAAACATTTTCCAATTTATTACCGTTTAAATAAAATAGAAATTTCCAAAATTTGTTCTTAGTTCAATCTATTTATCTTAAGCTCTCGAGGAAATTCTCAGTCAAATATTCTTACAGAATCATCCTGAGATATGAAGATAGACAAAAGAATCAACCATATTTTTCGACATCAAAGATGAAGGAAAACAGGACAATAGAACCATAGTTACACAGTCAAAAAGACAATCTGGACTCATGAGGTAAGGTAGCAACTCTCACAAGAATGTAAATAGAGCGCGGTAAGGGAACGCAAGAAGAGAGAATGAAAAAAAAAGCAGCAAGTTAATAATTACAAAATTTATCATTTCTATCAAAGAAAAAAAATATATACAAATGCCATAAAAGAAGAAGCTCCTTCATCGAAAATCCTTATAAAGGATGAACCATTCTGCAGGTTGACCACTAAACCAACAGGCAATTCTCAGCGAGTGAAAAGGTTAAAAAAGATGAGTTCAAGTATGCAGCTGTGCACACAAATACGTGTATGCTCGTGCTAGTAGCTGTGTAACAACCTTTTACTCCCCTCAACAACGGATAAGGAATAGCCTTCTGCTTCAAATTTGGCAACTAACGGTAGAACCTCTCAAGTTTCAGCGTGAAATCAGGAGGGCAATCAAAATTGCAATAACATTGTAGTTCAAAAACCACGATAGCCCCGATCAAGGGATACAAGCAAATCCTGCTTGTGAAATCTCTTTGAGAGCCAAGTATTGTAGGCACCGCATCAATCATCAAGGTAGTAATAAGATCCTGCAGATTTCTGTTCCCTGTCTTTGGTTGAATCCAGCTTGTTTATACGAGGCCTGTAATTTGTTGGGTCTCGTCTAAAAGTAATGTCAAGATGCTGAATACAAAAACGAACACCAAAAAAATAACGTTAGGATCTAGGATTAGTAGAGAGGTGAACATTGGAAGCAGTATGTTTTTTGTGGGAATAAATGGATAGAAATTATAGATAAATACAAGTCAAAAGCAGAAGCCAACATGCATTAAACGGTTAGCATGCCAACAGATTCAAAGACGTAATATAATCTTTATACATAAGAGTATAAAAATGCTTCTTTTAGTGGGCTTGTTCAAAGATAACGGTGTTGAAGAGGACAATTTCAGAGAGGGAATTATTCCCTCCTCTCTACATAGAATCTATTATTAGACAATACACCGTACAATCAGAATAATGACTGATGAAACATACAATGGAAGCTAATGGCAAATCTGGACATGAAGATAAACCAGCCCCTTAGGTTTTTGGGAAAAATTTAAAATAATGATGTTTTTAGACAAGAACATAACATTTAAAAGAGAGAGAACTTAAAATTCCAAATGTTTTTTGAATAATCAAAATAAATGTGCAAATTTCTCCTTTGACCGTGGCATTTACTATCTTAACCTCAAATTCCTTGAGACCAAATTTCAAAACTCAATAGCTTCCAGAGAGAGTAAGGACATACCATAGGCTCTTTCATGAACAAAGGAAAATAGTTAATATAGCAAAAAAAAGCCAGAAAAAATTATACAGTTATAATATCAGATCAACAGACAGACGAGCAAAATCAAAATCTGTACTTACAGATAAGAAGAGGTTCATCCCAGATACCAATGACTGAGGAGAATTTGCTGTACAATCAATAGATGGTTTCCCCTCGTACACAACAACTTTGTCAGCTAGATATGTCGCCATAATGAAGTCATGCTCAACAATAAAAGCGGTTTTCTTTGCATGAAGGATAAATCTTTTTATGACTTTTGAAGCAACAATACGTTGCTCTGAGTCTAGGTAAGCACTAGGTTCGTCTATAAGATAGATATCTGCAGGCTGCGTTTATAATTCCAAAAGTTAAAAAGCAGTAATAAACTCAGATAAATCAGAAGCTAAGCAAAGTCCATCTGGCAACCAAAACATCAATACAAGAAAAATCTGAACACTTCCAAGAAAGACAGCTTGAAAGCCAAACACTAATTTGAAAAACACTAAGCATTTGGGGCACTATAGAGAGGAAGAAAAGCCAATAAAACACCATGCCTTTTTTATCACATAAAACACCATATCTTAATCTTGACTCATATTTGAGTAATCCTCTAATATTTTTATTGTATGAGTTTACTGCTAGAATTTATGAATGGTCCTAGACATGCTTCCTGTGGGAACTTATTATGGTCAAGGTCGTAATTCTGAGCTCCATAATATATGTCCTAAACTAAATATTATTATCGGCAGCAGTTACGACAAAGTCCAAAAAAAATTACAATATCCTCTTAGATAAGAAAAAAATCAAAATGAATGAAGAGGCTAGAGGTCTGTTTATTCAGCATATAGCAGGCAAAAACACTGCTAAAAGTTAAGAAGATGCAAGAGAAAGAAAAATAAGAAATGTCATAAATGAGGAAAAATACCCATCCCCATGGCATGGGTATGGGTATTTTCTAAAAGTTAAGAAGATGCAAGAGAAAGAAAAATAAGATATGTCATAAATGAGGCATTGACAAAATCATACCTTTCCTAGACACAGACACAAAGCTACTCTCTGCAGCTCTCCACCAGAAAGATTTACAACCTCTTGGTCCATTAGTTGCTCAATTTGCAAAGGCTTCATAACATCGGATACAAACTGAGGATGCATATATGAATCCCTAATTTTTTGATGCAGCAAATGTCTCACAGTAGATTGAAATTTAGGACTGATCTTCTGAGGCTTATAGGAAACATTGAACTCGGGTATCTCAACATCAGTGCCTTCGATCATATCAGGCTTCAGTAGTCCAGCCTGCAGTCATAAAATTATACAGAAGATAAGCCCATGGAGTACGAGATAATTTAGCTTAAATGTATTATAAAAGTGTAAGGAACTTTGAAAAGTAAAAGAGCAGATAAAATGCAGAAAGAAGCTACATGTCTAAATAAACATGGTTCCCTAGTTAGGTTACACGGATTTGGGTACAGGTATGGGTACAGATGTGGGTATGGGACAAGGAAAATTTGTAAAAAGTAGGGTACGGTGGCTACACATACATGGATATAATAATAATTTGCATTATATCAATATCATTTTTTCATTTCACCTGCTACGAAATAAGATTTCTATAATATTTATATGTTTCTTTTATAACATAGATCTACAAATTAGAAAATTGCTCATTTTCTAACTTGATATCCAAAAGACCCCTTTACAATCAAAGATTTGAACTGGGAACAGGCTGAAACGAACCTAACTTGTGTCCATCAAGTTTCAAGAATTACATGTGAAATGTGGGATATACGTGCAAGAAGTATATGAAAAGTGGTTGGTATGTGAACGACATGGGTACTACACAGGTACGCTTTTGAATGTGTATGCAAATATTCAAGAAGTGTCCACTGAAATTTGATGTTTGGTACGGAAGGTGTTTGGTACGGGAATGACACGGGTATGTCTCCAAATAGAAGTACCTGTGCAACATAGTTTACTTGACACTCGTGATCCAGAGGAATGTGACACATGGGACCCGAGTCATATGAGACATAGTTGAAGGTGATAACATCTCCCGCTCCAACAACCAATCAAAATTCAATTCAGACAAAAAGGAAGATGAATGTGTTGAAGATTAGAGAGGTTAAACTATGACATACATGACCCCTTCCCCAACCAAAAGAAGGTAACATGGGCAGATACAACATGTCCATGTGCTCAAAACTTATTGAAGTGCAACCTATTGTTTACCTCAAAAATATGAATCAGATAAGGAGTTACTATGACTCTGTCGACAAATCTAACTGTTCTATAGATCTTTTACTATAGGGATTTTCATAGATGAAAAGAAACACATTTCATATTTATACTAAGTTAAATCTACAAAAATTAAAAGAATAAAACTTATATGAAATTACTACAATGTTTTCCTGCTATTTTAGAATTACCCATGTCTGATGACTCATGTCCCTGTCAGAAGCATACCATGTTTACAATATGTTATATGACTTAATATAGGGGTGAACTAGCGTACCAGCAGGCGAATAAATGTTGTTTTCCCCGTTCCATTCTCCCCCAGCATCACTATAATCTGAGAGTCAGTGAATTCCCCCTCAATGACAGATAGCTTGAAATTACCCAGGGTTTTACTCATAGTAGGGTATTTATATCGCTGATATGACTCAACCTCCTCAGCGCTTTCCTGAGGAGTCTCACCAACCTGTTAAAAAGCGATAAGAGAACCAATAAGATTCGACGCATACAACAAAACTTTTAAGCATATCTTTGTTGATCACTGATCGAATGTTACCTTAAATGTAAGTGCCACGTCTCGGAATCTTAGATTCTCCGTAGGCACGCGACCAGCCAAGAAAATGTTAATTCCTTCTCTAACTGAAAAAGGTAAAGTAACAACTCCATACGCTCCCGGTTTCCCATACAGGCAACAGATATAATCTGATAAATAATCAAGGACGCTAAGATCATGCTCCACAACAATCACATAACTGCAAAGTGAAAGGGGGGGAAAGATAAAAAACAAGTCACTAATTTCAGTTTTACTAACAAAAAGAAGAGAATGACATATTCTTCAGCAAAGAATCCAATAGGACCAGCTGATCAAAAAACTGCAGATATAGAAAAAATGGAAATTTTCCCAAATAAAAAAGAAAAAATTTGAGGAAAAAAGGACATAATTTCCAGCAAAAGATCAACTAGAACCTGTTGGATCTTAGCAAGGACCGAATGACTTGTGCAGCTTTAAGCCTCTGCTTCACATCAAGGTAACTGGATGGCTCGTCAAACATATAAATCTCCGCGTTCTGTACTGCAACCACAGCAATGGCAAATCTTTGCAATTCTCCGCCTGACAAATCTCCAACATTCCTATCAATAACCTGATTCAACTCAAGGTCGACACAGAGTTCAGCCTTCTTATCTCTCTCATCTTTTTGATCAAGCACCTGTCCAACGTTCCCTTGCACAGCTTTGGGGATGTGATCAACATACTGCGGCTTGATAATAGCCTATGAGTTGCCAAATCAACATATCCTCTTTAGCACAATAAGGTAGAAGAAACAATATCAAGAACGAAAAAGAAAACCCAGAGAAATTTTAATATCACAACAATTCAGTAAAATGTTCTTTAGGATTGAAATTGTAAAAGGTTAAAACAACAACACTTGGAATCTTAAAGCATTTGACTGTGTTTTCATCCAACTGGAATCTCAGTCTAGATGGTAGATCGAGTTTTGTTTTTTGCTTTATATATCTCAAAACTTTGAATATTACTTTCTATGTGTCTGGTTATGCTTTTTATAAATCTTTGATCAAGTTGTTTGGATCTGACTGGAATCTCAGTCTTCAGGGTAGATTGAGTGGTGAGATTATCTAGAAGTTGTATTGACATTTGCCTGTTGAGATCTGGAAGGGATCAGACGTAATAGGCTATTTTGGGCAGGTGAACTTGGGGGATTCAGATACTTTTCTAGATAATGGAACATCTCAGGGGGTGAGATAAAGGTGTGGATGTACACAAGGGCCGAACCACGTAAAAAGCTTTTGTGTTTGTGGTTTGCTTATTTGCTTCCATTGATTTGTCTTTTAATCTTAACTGAAATATCTTAATTTTCCAAAACCATATTAATGTGGATCCCTAGCCAGTTCATGAACAACACAACTTTTTTAGAAAACTTAATTTAGGTTAACTTACTGCATGTCGTTTTCAAAATATCCTAGTAGCACATACAAAACAGCTATCAGGCTCTCAAAGCAATCAACTTATCTATGACAAAGTACTAAATTACATAAAGCGCTATGTAACATAATGATAAAATTAAGGATTTTAACCTTAAGTTCATCCTCCAATAAACGAGTGAAATAGTTTTGAAGCTCAGATCCTCTGAAGTACGCCAGAATTTCCTGCCAGTCCGGTGGATTCTGCAAAAGATAAAGGTAATGAAGTCAGCAATATACGCAGTCAGCACCATTACACCCAAAAAATGTCTTATGTGATAAATTACATTGAATCGGCCCAAGTTGGGTTTCAACTTCCCACCCAACACTTTAAGAGCAGTCGACTTCCCAATACCATTTGTTCCCACCAACCCAAGAACTTGCCCAGGCCTTGGGACAGGTAACCTGTAAGGAGATATATTAGGAAAAGGCAGTCATGAACCATGCTTAAGAGATAGAACATTCTGCTTGCCTGTGCAACTTGAAGGTGTTAGGACCATAACGATGAGTTGTATCTTTATCCAAGTCTTTGGGTAGATTAATAATTTGAATGGCCTCAAATGGGCATTTCTGCATTAACATTTCAACACAGTTTAAGTTTAAAGGTCATCAAATATATCCTACCAAGAATACCACGAAACTCAAGAAAAGCAAACATCTTCGACAATCAGACCTTGACACAAATACCGCATCCAATACATAGCTCCTCAGAAATGAAGGCGATCCTTGAAGCAGGAGTTACTTCTATACAAAGCCTACCTGCAAAATAAAGTATTGATATGCAATGTAAAATCTTAAATAATAGTTAACATACAGTAGGACTTAGTTCTTACTTGACATGTAAACAGGAGCAGGGTCGCACATTTATGGATGAAAATAAACGAACACCGAAAATTACCAAAAATGCCCAATACACAAGATGCAAATCCTTTTAGGATGTGCAGAAATAAGTGCTCGTCTAAACAAGACAAAAAAAAAGCATCCATTCCACGAAAACCAGATCTGGCATATTCCTACGCAACGCTAAGCTATTACAAGATTTCAATTCAACACTAGGACATTTGCCCACGTTCTTAGTAGTATCATAAAGAAATTGAATGCAATAAGTTAAAAAATTCAGACTTTCACTGCAAATGAAACAAGTGAAAGAACTTTAAACTCTTAGGAAGCCTTTACTATCGAGCACTGAGCACTGAGCAAAGACACTACTACTTTTATACAACTCACTATCTGCTGATAACAGCTCAGCAAAACTAGCGATAGTATAATCATGTTGTAGATTAGCGTGACTTAAATTCAAATGCAATATAATTGTGATGATAAACAACGTGACCAACTACTAACCTATCCAGTATCCACGTACAAATAACTAATGACAGTTCATCAAACTGGATTCTTCTGTCAAGATTTTTCATCATCTCACTTCAATGTGGAGTTTTGCGTTTCGCTTGGAGAAAGTGAATATATCCAAATAACCCTGAAGAATAAACGCTATTGACTCTACTTTGCTTGACTGTGACATGGTAATCTACATAAACTAGACTTGGAAAGATTTATCCAGAAGGAGATAATCTCTCAAATTTTGAACATGGCTACTGGTATATTAGGATCCATGTCCGCTCCAGACCACGCTAAACCATGAAGAAACTTTGAAACAATACCCCCTCACAGATATTTAGTTTAAAAAAAAAAGAGCCTATAGTAACCTATACTGTCATTATGTTGATGAAACAGCATTTGCGCATAAAGGGTAAGTTCCAAAATAATAATAATAATAATAATAATAACGAAAATTGGAGAAACCTGCCTAAAATTTGGGGAGTTCCACAAACTGAAATACCCTTTTTTTTTAAATAACCCCTACTAAAACCCATAAAAAAACACCCCCTAATATTTCCCTCTATCCTCTCTATTGACAAACCCTAAATCGGAGTTTGCCCCCAAATTTCAGGACCTTCAGGTAAACTTTTTTCAAGAGTTCATGTGCTTTTTTGTGGGACTCCCCAAAGTTTAGGGGGCAGGTTTATGAAATTTGCCCAATATTCAAAAAATCAAGAAAATACAAGATCAAATGACCGTATTGTAAACAAAAAGCATAAAATTAACTAAAATTTAGATCTTGATAACAATCAATCCTTGCAAAAAAAAAGAAAAAAAAAATTATAACAGGATAAACCGATGATTCACCTGTTTTCACAACGGGACAGCTCTTCTTGCACTCCTGGCGACACTTTTTAGGCTTGCATCGATCCGAGCTCACGATCGCGATTCTAGTCAATCGATCTGCCATCTCTCCACCCTAAAAACGACGAGATAAAACCCTAGGTACGATTGAAAGCGGAGGAGACCGGTGCTTGAATCGAGGGGAAGAGGGGAATTTGGGGAATGGCCTCTCGCTGGAAAAAGGAAAGGAAACCCTAGAAAAAAATAAGAGACGAGGTTTCTTAACAAAGAAGCGTGCTCTCGGCGCGTAACCGGCAACTTGCAACTCTCTCTGTCGGTTGCGTTCCCCGACCCAAGCCCGCCCGCGTAAGGGGCTGTTTGGTTTAGGGGCTGTTTGGTTCCTTTTTTTTGGATGGTAAAAGTGGGGAAAGCTGCCAAAAATGTCAGTTTTTTGGCAGCTTTCCCCCAAAATCACCCCTTAAAAAGGTGATTTTAGCTTTTTGGCAGCTTTCCCCCAAAATCATCCCTTCAAAAGGTGATTTTAGGGGAAAGCTGTAAAAAAGCTGACATTTTTGACAGCTTTCTCCTCTTTTACCAACTAAAAAAATCTATCCAAACAGCCCCTTAGGGGCTGTTTGTTTGGCCGTTTTGGCCTTGGGAAGCGGCCAGAAAGCTGCCAAAATGGCAGCTTTCTGGCTCCTTCCCGAGGTCAAAACGGGAGTTTTCAGCCATCCAAACAGCCCATTAATGTTTTTACCATGTAAAAGGATGGAAAGTGTAAAAAAGTGGGTCCCAATGTCAGCTTTCATCACTTTTAATTGTTTGTTTGTAGTTGTGAAAATGGTGTAAAGTAATTTCATATGCTGATGTGGCTTGTAAAGTGATTTCAAAAAAAAAAGACATGATTTTAGGAGAAAGCTGACATTAAAGTCAGGAAAAAATAATAAAAAATAATTCCAACCAATATGATCATTTGAATAGGGACCACGTTTTACACTTTCCAAACAAACAATTAAAGTTACATTTACAAACCAAACAATCAATTTATGATTCCAATGGAATTAAAAACAAACAAATAAAAATATAAAAGTAAAATTGATGAGATGGACAACAACTTTCCAAGTTGTGTCATCAATACACAACTTTACCAACAACAACCAAACAGCCCCTAAAATGCATTGAAGCGCGGAAGCCTGACAATTGCTATAAAATTAGTTCAAAACATTTTATTTTGATGAGAAGTGGTCAGGTTTTGCCACCTAGGATTCAGATGTTTGGTTACGGTTTTTGGAAGGGGAAAGGAGGGGGAAAGATGTTTGGTTAGGGGTTGTTTGGATTAATTTTTTAGATTGGTAAAAGGGGGGAAAGCTGCCAAAAATGTCAGCTTTTTGGCAGCTTTCCTCCAAAATCACCTTTTCTAGAGGTGATTTTGGGGGAAAGCTGTGAAAAAGCTGATATTTTTGGCAGCTTTCCTCTCTTTTACCTATCCAAAAAATCAATCCAAACAGCCACTTACGGTTTTTGGAAGGGGAAAGGAGGGGGAAAGCTGCCAAAATGTCAGTTTTTTGGCAGCTTTCCTTTCTTTTACCGATCCAAAAAACCAATCCAAACAAATAGCCCCTAACTGCACAATTAAATAAAATAAACACATGAAATGCACCGATGCATTTCATCAGATTTTATTATTAGGAACTTTTTATATATGTGCCCATTGAACTATGCATATTCGCAAACCTGTCTCTACAAACTTGGGGGGGGGGGGGGGGGGCATTAAACCCCAAAATACCCGAATCACCCTTTTTTTTGGACATGGTGAGTGACGAATCACCCTTTTTTTTGGACATGGTGAGTGAATATTTGGATTTTGGGGTTTTTCGATATTAGTCCACCAAAATCTTTAAGTATTTTGCAACTTAGTCCCCTAAATCATTTAAGCGCTTTAAAATAAGTCTCCCAAAGCTTTAAATCTGGTGTTAATTGAAGGTATTAATTTCTAAATACTTTAAGATTTAAGGGACTAACAGCAACGTAGGCTAAATACCCATATTGGTATTTTAATTCAACCTCATTTGCCAAGAAGGTATTTTAAATAAAAAAATCGGCGTTAAGGCATTTTAATTGATTAAAATTACTAACTAGGTCCTTTTTCTCGTCGGCAACCATTTTTCCGGTGAGAAATCGTCACGTGCGTGACACGTGATGACTTAATCTGTATAAATACCCATATTGGTATTTTAATTCAACTCAATTTGCCAAGAAGGTATTTTAAATAAAAAATCGGCGTTAAGATATTTTAATTGATTAAAATTACTAATTAGGTCTTTTTGCTTGTCGGCGACCACTTTTCTGGCGAGAACTGGTCACGTGCATTTTAATTCAACCGGTTTTCTGACGTGGCAGTGGCAGGCAGGAAGAATAAGAGTCGATGCTTTTAAAATCCCCCATTTCTAAAATTGGTAAAAAAATTAGCGAAAAATTCGTGGAGAAATTACCGTATAAATAGAACCTCTTTCTCTTGCATCGATCCATGGCCGCGCCGGCGGCAATCTAGTCTGAAGTGATCTTCATCTTCTCACTTTCTTCTCTCCGAATTCACATGGCGTTTTCTTCTAGAAGTTCCTAGAATCGGGAGTTTTGGCTTCTTCTGTTAGCGGTAAAGGTAAGATAATTGAGTTGGATCTAAGATCTGGAGTGAATGCGTGGAAGTTTGATCTTTGTTTTGAAATTTTTAGGGTTAAGGTTGGTTCGTTTTGGACTTAAATTGTGATTAAGCCACATCAGTAGCTAAAACCGAGCCACATCAGCAAACCGAGCCACATCATCAGCTAAAACACAGATTAAGTCATCACATGCCACACACGTGACGAGTTCTCACCGGAAAAGTGGTCGCCGACGAGAAAAAAGATCTAATTGGTAATTTTAATCAATTAAAATGCTTTAATGCCGATTTTTTATTTAAAATACCTTCTTGGCAAATGGGGTTGAATTAAAATACCAATATGGGTATTTATACAGATTAAGTCATCACGTGCCACACACGTGACGAGTTCTCGCCGGAAAAGTGATGGCCAACGAGAAAAAAAGACCTAATTGGTAATTTTAATCAATTAAAATGTCTTAACGCCAATTTTTTTATTTAAAATACCTTATTGGCAAATGGGGTTGAATTAAAATACCAATATGGGTATTTAGCCCAGCAACGTATGTATGGAAGAGTTAAAGTTAGCAATGGAGATTATGTTTTTACTGAAAGGTTGAAGTTTTGAGCTGTCAATGAAAAGGTGAGTTGTTTTCTAGCATATACGTTGCCAAAGTGATGGGAATTGGGAAATGGTAATTAATTCTCATCAGTCAATATATTGTCCGCTAGTTTGCTTTCCTACCCTTGCTTAAAAATCTTGTGGTTGAGTATAATGACGATCACTAGGTCACAATCATTCCCAAGATCATTATTGTAAAGCAGTACTATTTTCTTTTTAAATTGCATATCAGTGGCCATTAAGAAGAAGAAAAATTGTATCAGTAGAAAAATGTATAACAGCAAGAAGCAACCAAATGCAGAAATTATTGTACCTCACTACTGTTTCCTTTAACGGCCTAAGTGTTCTATTATTTGTTCTTTCATATTTCCATTTTATTTACTGTGTCTTAAAGCAAACTTTAACCTTTCCCCTCATGTCATGATTAAAGTGGCACTTGGTATTGCCCTTTTTTATTTTTATTTTTTTTGCGTATTATCCTTAAAACGTTCCCTCATTACAATTATTTTATCTTTTCTATTTCAGGCTTTAGATGCAAAGGTAATCATATTCAAGAAAAAGAAAGAAAGAAATAAAGCAATACCTGTCTTCTCTTTCAGCAACTAGTTCATTTTTCTTTTTCTTTTTTTCTTTTCTCCTCAGGGATTGAAGGATTATTGGCGTCCAAGTATAATATGTCCCTAACAAAAAGCATACCAACTAATTAACAACGCTCCAATCTAATCATTAAGAAATAATTAATAAAACACAATTTTCTCAATTCATGAAAATTAGAAAGTTAATTAACACATAACACACAAAGTATATCTTCGATGTCAAAAAATAATACCCAACTATACATTTTAATATCCGATAAAATAAGAAAACTAGTAATCGCCCAGCGTGTTACATCCAAAATATTTCTTTCACGGACTTGCCAACTGAAAAAAGCTCCTAATAGCAAACAAGAGCTTTGCCAATCGAGTAAATCTCCTGATAGCAAAATGCATGGTTCTTTTTCCGAGCTGGCTCAGCTCGATCTTCTTCTTTCTTTCTGCCGATTTTCTACATGTACAAACAAGAAGAAATATCATATATTGTATATTAGTAAAAATAGAATTTTACTAGATGCTGCTCAGGTGTACAGAGGTTTTTCTATTGTCAAAATTTTTGACATTTTGACAAGGCTTTTTTTTTTACCTTTTTACCATTTATGATCCCCGGAAACCTGAAGCATATCCCAAAGAGGAACGGTGCATGATAAAGGTTCAAATGCATATATGTTTTAGTTGGGATCATGCACAAAGATACAGAGGTTTTAACTATCATTTCAGAAAGTAAAAATGAATGTGTAGTGTAAAATCTTCTAATGAAAGCTTGCTTATATATGCTAAAAAAATTTCACTGCCTGTATTGAAGTTCACTCTCAGATGTACGTTCGGTGAAGCTAGAATTACAGACAGGCTTTTGCTCCTAACGACCTTCTTTTTTTTTTTAAGTCTGCGAAGTGGGCAAGAACAATGTAATAGTTTGAATCGATTTTTGTTTCGAGATCCCCTAGATTGGTTGTTTTTGCAAGGGAATTGTAAGAGTTAATTAATTGTTTGCTTTCGAGTTAATTTACATTTCTGTTAATATGGTATCGCTCTTTTAATTGGTATTTGTCGTATAACAAGCATATTATATATTATCTTTATTCATCTTTTTTGGGAGCTCATGTTGTCGTAGAAATGTTAGTTGATTCTTTAATCTTTATGCTGAGGACATAACCATTGTGTAAATGAGCAAGAGAGTAGCAGCATCAATTTGCCAAGCAAATAGAGTTACTTCCATGAAAAAAAAAAGTACTTTTTTTACTTTCTTATATAACAAAAAAAAGTTACAATTATAAGATGATATTATATGATAATTAACAATGAATTGGAATTGAAGGTTAAATATAAAGGATTTTTTTTATAGTAATAAAATGTAAGGGATTGATAATTGAGCAAGTGTACGCTCCACTTAACAATATTCTCATTTTCCTTCTGTCGTTTTGTGATCTTTTTAAGTATTGACCGCTCCACGTGTCTGACCACAGCCAAAATATGTCCAATATCATAATCCAACGTGCATGTTTGTTTCGACGTGAGCTCTCCCGTGGTGACGACCAACACCAAACATTCAAAATAACCAAATAATATCACGACGCGTGCGTACCATGCCTCGTAAAGAACGTACGTTATCTCAACGCGCAACTTCACTAAATTATCCGTTTTAGGGAAACCAACTTTCCGGTTACCCAAGATTGCACCCATCCGATCCAAGGGACCCAGGAGATTTTATTGAAAATATCAGGGTAGGGTTTTCGTACCTGTATGTCTTTCAGGTCCATCTTAACGCAAGGTTTATTCCAAATCTGAATATTTATTTTAACAAGAGTTCCCCCCATTTTTTTAAGAGGCTGTTTGGTTGCCTAGAAAAACAAGGAAATCAAATAAAAGGAAACATATTTTCTATAATAGATTTTTTCTTGTGTTTGGTTCACTTCTTAAAAGTAAGAAAGGAGATGATGTGAGACGACTTGTCACCATACTATTGGATGATGTGAGTGGTTTTTTAAAAAACGAATACGTATCAAAGTTTGGAATTTCAAAGCGTCAGCAAAAAATACGTATCAAATTTCAAAGTCAAAAGATATAAAGTTTGGAATATCAGAGTTAAAAAATATGTAAGTTTGGGATATCGAAGCGTAAGCAAAAAACTTTGGAATTTCAAAGTCAAAAGATATAAAGTTTTTAGGTATCAAAATGTCAAATAAAACCTCCAAGGTATCAAATTTCAAGAAAATGTAAACTTTCAGGGTGCCAAAAGTGTAAATAGACCCTTTTCTGACTACATAACCCCTAAACTTATCATATTTGCAGTTATACCCATCAATCTACATAGTTGGTAATTTTATCTCTAGGAATTTTTACAATGTTGAACTAGATGGGTCACATGGGGATGGAAAACAAATCAAATATTTAACAATCACGGAAGCGATTACCTTAATTGGCCCCTGGAAATCAATGTTAAAGTGAACGGACGGACAAAAGACTTTCCTGCTATATGCAAAAATCAAGAAGCACCAGAACAGTGGGAAATGGATCAGTACAAAGGAACAATGGAGGCTGTGGAGGAAATCTTGAAAGAAATGAAGTTAGTTTAGTATTTATTCGCTTAAATATCCGGTCATATTCAATGCGATAGTTTATTTTATAATAAACAAATATTTTTAATATTCAGCTCATAAACGAATAGAATAGCTATGGGTATAATAGATTAATTTGTTTAATAATATTCCTTTATGTATTACACTTAAAACATATTTAAGTTATTTCATTTTCTATGGATCCCAAAAGTTTTTGGGACACATAGTCTCTCATGTAAGTAGGCTTTTATCGTGACTATTATATTTATCATTAGATTGCATATTCATCAGTTGTATTTATGTCTGGCTGCATTACAAGGCTAGGATAGGGTAACGAATATTTACTGAATATCTATCGAACATGAACCGAATAATTCATAGAAAAAACTACATGAACATTGTTAATAAATATTCACAAATGGTTGCCGAATATTCGAAAACTAATCGAGTCAAATTCGAAAAAACATTTCCTATTCAATTTGAATATGAACAGTGGGGTATTAGATTCGAATTCGGTTTCTTTGTACCCCCAAGTAGGGGTGAGCACGGTTCGGTTCAAACCGAAAAAACCGACCGAACCGACCCGAACCGACCTGAAAAAAGCGGTTTTATGAGTAAGGCGGTTCGGGTCGGGTTGACAATTTTTCAAACCGACCCGAACCGAACCAACCGAATATATTTGTGCCTTTGATTTGTGGGTTTATTACTATGTCCGATCACCATGAATAGCAGTTGCAGGGAATTGATTCATACATAACCAATGTTCTAATGAGTCAGCTCCTTTTTTTGTCTCTACAAAGACCAAACTCAAAGCTTGCTACACAAAGACAAAGCAAGTCCGTTACTAAAAAATTACAACGTCAGAGTCTAGTATTTAATCCAAAAGGACAAGTTACTTCACTTAAAAACAGTATACATACATGAGCAAGAATAATAAATTGAAGTGAAGTTAAAAAACAAATACATGTTGGCATAGGGTAATAATAATATATAAAAGATAAATTGAAGTGAAGTTATACTTGATGAAGTTAGAACCGAACAAACCGAACCGAACCGCACCGAACCGATTTGTAATGGTTCGGTTCGGTTTTGAATTGTAGGTGGTTCGGTTCGGTTGTTCAAATTTTAGTAAAAACCGACCCGAACCGAACCGTGCTCACCCCTACCCCCAAGTAATAAAATACCCATAAGATATACAGATTTAGGGAGTAATCTGCAAATAGAATAGATTTTTCAGATATCCCAAATAAAGTAAAGGTGGAGGAGGAATTGACAAAATGTGACAAACGTATAAACATAACACTATCGACTATCGAGAAAGCCCAAGCCCCTTTCGAAGCGAGAACGCCATCGGTCTCTCTTTCCTATTTTCCTCCCTCTCTCACTCTCCTCATTTACCCCCAATTTCCTCCCAAAGTTTCCTCCCAAATTCTCAATCTCAAAACCCTAGCCTCCTCCATCACCGATCACAACCTCTCATCGGAGGAGATCGCCGGCCTGCATTGCTCCAGTCCCGATGGAGCCGCCGCCAGCAGCAGAGCTCGCCGCTCAAAGCACCATGTAAGAAGATCAATCTCCGTTAGGGTTACGAACGTTTCTGTACTGATTCCGTCAGTTTTGACGGATTCTGTTTGCAGGCTTTGTCTCTTTGCTGGGAGTTCGTCGTATCAGGACCCTGACGTGATCGAGTTAACGGGGCCGTCGACTTCTTCTTGGAGTTTAAGTAATCAGAAGAGAAGGAGAACTCAGGTTTATGAAAAGAAAATCTTTTTTTAATCTTTTTTTTAATAAAATCGGTTGATTGCAGCCCGATAGATTATCTTGTCGTTTACGTTGTCGATAGTCTTGTTTTGTATAGCTAAATCATTGTTTTATTCGTACGTTTGGATCATGTGCTCAATTGATTTCTAGAAACTTATCAAAGTTCTATTTTGATAGTTGAACTTTAAAGTTTAAGCTAAGCTTTAACTCTATATCATCATTAAGAGTTCAGAGGTTCTTGTGGGCATGCACATGATGTTGTGTTTGATATACTTAACTTCCATTTTCTACTGTGCAATGAGCAATCTAAGGTTACAATTGCATCATGTTGTAGTGACTGTTGTTATTGTTGGATTTGGGTGTGGATCCAAACTTGTCAGGCGAGCTTGAGAAGATCGTTAGGTGAGCTCGAGGTCGAAGTTCAGGCGAGGTCGAGCTCCTTCAGGCGAGCTCGAGCATTGTGCGGGCGAGCTCGAGATCAAGTGAGGTCGTCGGCGAGTTGCAGGCGAGCTCAAGGCTTGCGTCAGGCGAGCTTGAGGCGACGTAGCTCCGCAGGCGAGCTTGGGTCAATGCAGGCGAGCTCGACGAGGGTAAAGCAGGCGAGGTCGATGCAAAATCCAGGTGAGCTCGAGGTGGCTTCTTGCAAGCGAGGTCGAGGCGCCCGCAGGCGAGGTTGAGCGCGCGGCGACAGCCTGTCGCCAGCCTGTCGCTAGGGTTTCCCTATAAAAGGGAAACCCCGTGCACAAGATTGTGCAGCTTCTCCTCCTCCTTCTCGCGTTCTTTCAGTGGCGACAAAGCTCCTTCTCTCTCTTTTGCAATTCTCTTCTTTCTCTTTCAGCTCACGAGATTTTGAGGGAAGAATTTAAAGAAGATGGAATTTATTAAAAGGGGGTTTAAAGAGAGTAGTTATTACTGTAGCTACACTAACAAACTTGTATTTATTGAGAGATCTCAAGTTTGAGATCTGCTCTTGCATTGTAATTTCTTGTTAATTAATAAAAAATTAATTGTGTGGCTCCCGAGGACATAGGCAAGTTTGTCGAACCTCGTAAATCTTGATGTACTTTTTTCTATACCGTATTTTTGCTGTTCTAGGGGTTTAGTGTAGTCCCTAGTATTCCCTAACAACTGGTATTAGAGCCTGAAATGATTTGGTGAAAATCAGATTCAAGTGGGAGCGATGGTCGCAGATGAAGAAAATATGAGATTAGAGAAGTTCGAGGGAACAGATTTCGGATTCTGAAAAATACAGATAGAGGATTATCTATATCAGAAAAATCTGTATCAACCCCTTTCGGGAAAGAAACCGGATTCTATGAAGGTAGATGAGTGGAACCTTCCCTCGGAGTTATCAGATTGATGTTAACTCGTAATGTTGCGTTCAATATTACGAATGAGAAGACCACGACGGGTCTTATGACAGCACTCTTAAATATCTATGAGAAGTCATCAGCTGCAAATAAAGTTCATTTGATGAAGCGATTATTTAATCTGAGAATGACGGAAGGCGCTTCAGTAGCACAACACTTCAATGAACTCAACATGGTCACAACCCAATTGAGTTCAGTTGAAATTGAGTTTGATGAAGAAATTCGAGTGTTGATATTTTTGTCTTCCTTATCAGAAATCTGGAACGCTACAGTCACAGCTGTAAGTAGCTCATCGGGAAGCAACAAGTTAAAGTTCGACGACGTTCGTGATCTGGTTCTCAGTGAGGGGATCCGACGAAGAGAGTCAGGTGAAGCTATAACCTTTTCAGTATTACATACAGAGTCAAGATATAAAAATTTAACCAGAGGAAACGAACGAGGCAAATCAAACTTCAGAGGTAGATCAAAGGATAGGAGGTCCAAATCCAGGAATCCAAGCAACAACTCGAAGGCTGTCAAGTGTTGGAATTGTGAGAAAACGGGACACTACAAGAATCAGTGTAAGGGTGCACAGAAGGAGAAGGAGGTGAAGACAGAGGTGAATGTCACTTCCACCTTAGGAGGAGACGACGTATTGATATGCTCTTTGGAAAACAAGAAAGAGTCTTGGATGTTAGACTCTGGAACGTCGTTCCATGTTACTTCTCAGAAAGAATTCTTCGAGAAGTATGTACCCAAAAATCTTGATATGTATACCTTAGTGATGATCAACCGTGTGCTATTGTGGGCAAAAGTGTAGTGAAAATAAAGTTGAATGGGTCAATATGAGAGCTGAAGGATGTCAAACATATTCCCAACGTGAGAAAGAACTTAATATACGTAGGTCAGTTGGCTGACGAAGGATACACTACGACCTTCCATGGAGATAATTGGAAGATCTCAAAGGGCGCAGTGACGATTGCCCAAGCCAAGAAGGCTGGTACCCTATATATGACAGCAGATGTACGTTGTTTAATCTCAGTTGTAGCAAGCAATGAGACTTTAAAGTTGTTACTCCAGAGACTCGGTCATATGAGTGAGAAGGGGATGAAAATCATGCACACAAAGGGAAAACTCTCAGAACTGTAGTCAGTGAAGATGGACATATGTGAAGAATGCATACTTGAAAAACAGAAGAGAGTCAGTTTTCAGACAAGTGGCAGATCCCATAGGAAGGAGAAGCTAGAGCTCGTTCACTCAGATATTTGGGGATCAACCACCACCGCGTCCATTGGTGTGAGACACTATTTTGTAACTTATATCGATGATTACTCTCGAAAAGTGTGGGTCTATTTTCTGAAGCATAAGTCAGAAGTATTTGAGGCTTTCAGGAGATGGAAAGCCATGATCGAGAATGAGAACGGCCTGAGAATAAAGAAGCTCAGGACCGACGATGGCGGTGAGTATGAAAACACCGAATTCAAGAAGTTCTGTTCTGAGCACGGGATCAGAATGGAGAGAACCGTGTCCGGCACGCCTCAGCACAATGGTGTAGTTGAGCGGATGAACAAAACGTTGACAGAAAGAGCCAGAAACATTCGTATATAGTCAGGCCTACCGAAGCAGTTCTGGGCAGAAGCGGTCAACACAGCAATTTACTTGATCAACCGAGGTCCATCGATTTTATTGGAGCACAGAATACCAAAAAATGTATGGTGCGGAAAGGAGGTAAAACTCTCACATCTCAAAGTTTTCGATTGTGTAGCTTATGTGCATGTTAGTGATCAAGGTAGGAATAAGCTTGATCCCAAGTCTAAAAAATACACTTTCATCAGTTACGGTGAAGATGAGTCTGACTACCGTATTTGGGATAACGAAAATAACAAGGTGATCAGGAACAGAGATGTGATATTCAACGAGAAAGTGATGTACAAGGACATGCATAAGACAGATGACTCAGAGAGCGAGTCAATATTTATAGATACAGATGATGTCCTGAGTAACCTTTCGGAAGAACCCAATGCAGAAGGTCCTCAACCAGAAGAGCTTGCTGGACAGAACGGTGCGTAGGAGCCCGACGCACCAGCTTTAATATTGAGAAGATCTTCTCGTCTTCCTGTACCCAACAGGAGATATATGAACTATCTGTTGCTGACAGATGGAGGAGAGTCTGAAAGCTATGATGAAGCTTGTTAGAGTGGAGATGCGAGCAACAGGAGTTCGACGCACCAGCTCCGATATTAAGAAGATCTTCTCGTCCTCCTATACCCAACATGAGATATATGAACTATCTATTGCTGATAAATAGAGGGGAGTCTAAAAGCTATGATGAAGCTTGTCAGAGTGGAGATGCGAGCAAGTGTGAGCTTGTCATGAAAGATGAGATGAAGTCTCTCATCTTAAATCAGACGTAAGAACTAACTGAGTTGCTCACGGGTAAGAAGGCATTCCACAACAAATGGGTGTACTGGGTAAAAGAGGAGCATGATGGCTCCAAAAGATATTTAGTCCGGCTAGTTGTTGAAGGATTCCAGGAAAATAAGGGAATTGACTACACCGATATTTTTATTCCCGTGGTAAAGCTAAATACTATCAGGACAGTGATGAATATTGTAGCTATTGAAGATCTTCATCTCGAGCAGTTAGACGTGAAGATGATGTTTCTTCACGGAGATCTAGAAGAGGAGATATACATGCACCAGTTAGAAGGTTTCTCAGAAAAAAAAGAACATGGTGTGCAGACTCAAGAAGAACTTGTATGACCCGAAATAAGCCCCAAGGCAGTGGTACAGGAAGTTTGACAGCTTCCAGAAGTGCAACGCCGATCAATGTTGCTACTTCAAGAGATATCAGTCTAATTATATGATCTTACTACTGTATGTTGATGATATGTTGGTTGCAGGTGCAGATATGAATGATATCAAAAGTTTGAAGCAGCAACTGTCAAAGGAGTTTGACATGAAGGACTTGGGTCCAGCAAAGAAGATCATTGAAATGCAAATCACGAGAGATAAGAAGAGAGGTCTTTGCAGTTATATCAGACAGAGTACATCAACCGTGTTTTATAAAGATTCAATATGGGCGACGCCAAGCCAGTCAGCACACCATTGGCCAGCCATTTTCGTCTATCAAAGGATTAATCTCCTCAGTCGGAAGAAGAGAAAGAGAGTATAGCTAAGGTCTCTTACGCCTCAGCCATTGGAAGCTTGATGTACGTAATGGTCTGTACGAGACCAGATATTGGCCATGCAGTGTGAGTGGCCAGCCGGTTTATGTCGAATCCAGGAAAAGCTCATTGGGAAGCGGTCAAATGGATTCTGAGGTATCTACGAGGCACTACACAGAGATGTTTGTACTTTGGTAAGGGAGATGTGGAAGTGTAAGGGTACGTAGATGCAGACTTTGGAGGTGAAGTCGATCACCGAAGAAGCACCACCGATTATGTATTCACTGTCAGAACTACAACTGTTAGTTGGATGTCACATATACAGAAGATTGTCACTCTATCCACTACAGAAGTTGAATATGTAGCAGTGACTGAAGTCAGTAAAGAGATGATATGACTTCAGGGTTTATTAACAGAGTTGTGATTCAAACATGAGAAGAATGTTTTGCACAGTGATAGTCAGAGTGCGATTCACTTGGCTAAGAATTTCGTATTTTATTCTAGAACGAAGCATATTGGGCTTCAGTAACACTTTATCAGATCCCTGTTGGAAGATGACATGTTAAAACTGAAAAAGATTCCAGGAAGTAAGAATCCAGCAGATATGTTAATAAATACGGTGATCATTCAGAACTGGAATTGTGCGTAACTTCAGTTAGCCTTCATGCATAAGGTGATGAGGGCGAAGCCACACCACACAGGAGAATGTGTTTGTTGAGATAGCCTGCTGGCGACGGTTTGGTTTCCAAGTAGGAGATTGTTGGATTTGTGTGTGAATCCAAACCTGTCAGGCGAGCTTGAGAAGATCGTCAGGCGAGCTCGAGGTCGAAGTTCAGGCGAGCTCAAGATCAGACAAGGTTGTCGGCGAGTTGCAGGCGAGCTCAAGGCTTGCGTCAGGCGAGCTTGAGGCCATGCAACTCCGCATGCGAGCTTGGGGTGATGCAGGCGAGGTCGATGAGGGTAAAGTAGGCAAGGTCGACGCAAAATCTAGGCAAGCTCGAGGTGGCTTGCTGCAAGCGAGGTCAAGGTGCCCGCAGGCGAGGTCGAGCGCGCGCATGGCTAGCGAAAGCTTGTCGCCAAGGTTTCCTTATAAAAGGGAAACCCCGAGCACGAGATTGTGCAGCTTCTCCTCCTCCTCGCGTTCTTTCAGTGACGACAGGGCTCCTTCTCTCTCCTCTCCCGGTTCTCTTCTTTCTCTTCAGCTCATGAGATTTTGAGGGAAGAATTTAAAGAAGTGGGAATTTATTGAAAGGGGATTTAAAGAGAGGAGTTATTACTGTAGCTACGGTAACAAACTTGTATTTATTGAGAGATCTCAAGTTTGAGATCTGCTCTTGCATTGTAATTTCTTGTTAATTAATAAGAAATTAATTGTGTAGCTCCCGAGAACGTAGACAAGTTTGCCGAACCTCATAAATCTTAGTGTACTTTTCTCTATACTGTATTTTTGCTGTTCTAGGGGTTTAGCATAGCCCCGGGTATTCCCCAACAGTTATGGTGTTTCTGTAATTGATAAGTGTAAACATTGGTTTCGGAATAAATAAAGCCATGCCACTTCTTAGGCTAATCACTTAAGTGGCAACTTTAAGAGTCAAGGAAGCTGGTAATTAAACACTTGAAATGGCTATTTCTTTTGTTCCACTTGCCTTTTTTTCAAATAACAGCTTGCCAAAGTGCAAACTCCTTACTCACAAGTTACATTGATAGTCATTTTCCCCTACATTTAACATTCTGAAACTTTAATTCAGAATGAGATCTTGGGTCATTAAGTATATTTGTACGCAAACAACATCAATAGGGCATTGGGGAGATGCAGTTTTGTTCTTGTGGTGAAAAAGAACATCTAGGCAGATGACGAATGAACCATATAAGGCTTCAACAACTGATGCTGAGGGGGGAAAAACCTTCAAGTGATGGGTCTTTCAAATAGGAGTATAACTTCTTTTTTTAACTGAAGTATGCTACTCAACATGGCCCTTTTATGCAAAGGGTGTACAGTAAAGGTCATATTGATTGGTAACACATTATAGATTAAATAGAGCAGCTTGTTTCCTCAGGTGCCTTAGAAAACTTCCCCAGGTCCCTTAAAGCTATGAACCTTTTACCAAGTGTCTTGAAACAATGCAGTAATCACTGTTTTCCAGACATATAATTTTGCTTTCATAATCTACTCACATCACGGTAATTTTAAAGGATATTCTTGGTTTGATGTGTTTTTAGCTAAATCTAGTCACAAACTGAAGTCACTTTGAACTGTTTGAGGCGCTGTGTTTGATGTATAAGTGAAATTTAGGTTGTTGAACTTTTGGCAGAGTTAGTGTCCGTCTGTATAAGGTAAGGTCTTTTCTACATAAGGTAAGGTATTTTCTGTTGAGGTCTTTTCTGCATAAGGTAAGGTCTTTTCTGTTGAGGTGTTTATTGTTTTGTGTCCTCCCTCCATTTTTTTTCTAATCCTTTTGTTTCCATAAAGCCTAATAATAATCTATTGCGTTGAGATTAATCAAAGAAACTCAGTAACTGTTGCCTTTTGTAGATCCTAAGGACAATCCATAACATAAAAAGGTGGAAATTTGTCCTCATTACAGTGTGATGATTTCTCTGTTCTCTTTTGTTTTAACTTTCAATTATGCTGCTATTTAACCTGCCGTGCAAAATATATTGGACTTAATTTTTTTTCATAGAGGAGATATATATTTTGTGGACTTGCCTTGTTTCTGTATTCTAGGTTGTCCCTCGTGAGGTAATTGACGTGGATAAAGATGATGATCCAGAAGTCATGTTTATTGATGGAAGTTCTTTGGATTATAAGGACAAACAGTCTAGGAGACGTGGCAAGGATCTTGAAAAGCAAGTAAAGGTATGTGGCTCTTCATTTTGTGTCTCAAAGTTTTCTTGATCAGAATTGATTCTAATTTTAATTTACCTTAAAAAGTTCCTGTATTGTTTGCTTGTGCAAATTTAACAATGTATGATTTATACAATGAGTTAGCCTATAAACAAGTGTGTTGAAGTATAAATCATCAATGACAATGTTGACGTTGCTCTACTGGATATTCTAAAATGTTGAAATCTGGACTGGGTTTCAACTGTCTTATGGATATGATTCTGATAACTGATAAGTATGAATATGATTATGACTGTTATACAGGATTTGGAATTTGATACAGATGTAGTCTTTTAGTGAGTATACTTTTTGTTTGGCTGCTAAACTTTGATTGGCTGCTAAACTTTGATTGGCTTGGATCTGATGATGTGTATTATGCTTGCAGAAGCCTGTGCGAGACAAATCAAGTAGGATGCAGCCACAGATCGTGATTGAAGAAGATGAAATTGACTTGAAATTCAAAGCATTTAAACAGTTTGATACTGTTCAAGGTAATCATGACCATTATTATGCAAATCCAGAGAATGTCAAAGGGATAAGAATCACAAAAAAGGTAAGTTCATAAACTTTTTGGCTTATTTTCCTTTTTATTCCAGTTTCAAGTATATTCTTGTATCTTCATCTAAAGGCTTATTTATGACAGACATCAAAAGATTGGGCAAAGAGGATTCAACACGAGTGGAAAGTCCTGGAGAAAGATTTACCAGGTGAGATTGGAAACCCGTATATTTTATGTTTCAAAACAAAAAATGAATTTTGCGATTATACTTGCTCTTTCTGTTATTTTCTTGTAAACTTCAGAGTCTGTGCTATCACCCACTATCGCTGTTCAAGGTTACCTAGTAAGCATTACCCCTGTATTTTTATATTCTCTATGTTCAACTGCATGTGTGCATTCATGAAGTTCTTTGGGTGTGTATGAGTGTAGCTATCAGTCATATAATCTCATATGATTAAGAAAGTAGAAAAAGAATACCAGATGTAATCGGTCATGTTAAAAGATGAAATTTGAATTTCCAGTGTTGTTAATCCGATAGTTTTAGTTGCTTATAACGTAGCACAGTTTCTTCGGTAGTAATATCTTCATTCTGGAACATTTTTGCACTATAACTAGTATTATTTGCCATTCGAGATGTTTTATGGTGCTGTCTAGATTTGTAGCTTGTCAAAGTGAAAAATGGTTATAAAAATTGTCTATTCTTTTTATTTTTTATTTTGGGTGATAACATGTGCTATATCATATGACAGTGATATGATATCGTCTTACTTCCCTCATGTTTTTTTTAATACTTCAACAGAAACAATCTTTGTCAGAGTTTATGAAGATAGGATGGACATTCTGAGGGCTGTTATAATAGGACCAGCCGGAACTCCTTATCATGATGGTCTCTTCTTCTTTGATGTTTACTTTCCTCCTAATTATCCCAATTCTCCTCCGGTAAATGATCGAGCCCTTATTTACTTTTACTCAATTCAAACCTGAATAACATAAGAATGGTACATTACCACGCCGGTGGACTTCGGCTTAATCCAAACTTATATGCTTGTGGAAAGGTTTGCCTTAGCCTTCTAGGTACTTGGTCTGGCAATGGGTGCGAGAAGTGGAATGCATCCAAGTCAACCATGTTGCAAGTCTTAGTGTCTATTCAAGCTCTTGTCCTGAATGCGAAGCCTTACTTTAATGAGCCTGGATTTGTAGGGTCTGAAAACACAGAACACGGGAAGAAGAATTCCTTTGAATACAATGAGAATACCTTCCTTTTATCATGCAAGACAATGTTGTATTCACTACGGAGGCCACCAAAGGTCAGTAATATGTCACATCTCTTCGTAATATATGGCAGTGCAAGTTCTGTGTGTGGTAGTCTTATTAGGCAGTTTTGGGATTGGGTTCAGCTGTTTCAGTATATGTTTCTACTAAGATACTAGGAATATCGAGAAAAAATGTACCACTCGTATAGGCTTAACAAAAATCGTGAATTATTTCTCATGTAGTAATAACACTACTGCTAGAAGCACTTATCTAACATTTTCTTCCAAGTTGGCTGCCAAATGTTAAAAACAACGAGCTATTCCAATGCGACTAGCAGGACATGCCTCACCACTATTCTATCACTTGGTAGCCCACTTAGCATTTAGCAATGAGTTGCTGCTTCATACCCATAATGTGTGCGTGGGTTCATGTAGAGTTGGTTAGCTTTTGGGTTAATTACAAAAAGTCCCTCTAAGGGTTGTAGGATTCACATAAAAAAAAGAGAGGGTAAATTACAGTAAACCCTCAAAAATGTTTAGCGTTTTGCAGTAGACTCCCAATAACTTTCAAAATCGCATTAAATCTCAATAACTTTTGCAGAAAAAACCCTTTCAAAAAACGCACTAAACCCCCCAAAATAACTTTTGGAATTGCAGAAACCCCCAATAAATTTCTTCAATTTTGCAGATAATCCCCATAAATTAGAAATAAAAAAGCATTTTGAAAGTTCTTGAAGGTTTAGTGTAATTTACCCAAAAACCCCTAAAGTTTGGAATGTAACAGTGTAACACCCCTCGTTTCAAATTTTCAATCTAATAAGGTCACATGAATGTCACGTGACTCATTTATTGCCAAAAATACCCTTAACCCATCTTATTTGGGACACAACATATAAGGTTATTTGTAAGGGTATTATTGCCTTGGTTTATCAGTTAAACTTTTGCACTTTGGGAAGAGTGTTGTCTAATTCTTATTTAAGTCCAATCATAAAAAAATGGAAAATTCCCTCCATGCAAGTTGACATATAGTGTCTAAAGTGCCTTAAAGTAAAGTGAAATGAATTTGACTGATGAAGTACATGGTTGAATGTAGCGTACTGCTTAGGTGTATGTCTGGTGCATACAAATTATTATCATATAGATCTGATTTAAGCATTTCAAAACCCTTCGAAGCGAAGGTCTATCAGATTCTTAACATTCTAGATCAGTTATCTAAACAGCTTGCAATTTTCAATCCTTTTATTTTCCTACTCCATGCATAGAGAAGAAATTTAAATCACTTGATTTTTTTATTTTAGTTTTTAGTTTTTAGGTTCCAACTAAATGGAAAATTACTACTGAAATTGCATTGTACATCCAGAACTCCAAATCGTAAGTAGTAAAATTCTGAAAACTTATCTCTACGTGACTTGCAATTTGTAAGGGATCTCTTAAAAGCTCCAACTTATGACTTGCAATATGTAGTGGATCTCTTAAAGCTCCGACTTGCAGGCAGATACTCGATGCATTGAGTCAACCTTCTAGTCTCACTAATTATGGACCATTATCATTCTTGTTTCTTCAAGGGTACCAGGAGTTACGCTTACATTCGTTTTTACCTTATTGACGATAGTGTAACGCTATCGTCCCAGTATAGAGACAGATGAGAAAAGAGCAGATGAGGGAGAGAATCCTCACGATTTTGATCTACATATCATACTTGAGTCATGATAAAAAGATCATGTATTGTGAAAATTTCCCTATGTAAGTATAACCAGCTACAGAATAAACAGGTAACATCTAAATACAAAAGAATCACAAGTTTTGAGGACTTAAATAATTAATCGCCACCTATTCATCTAAATACAAAAGAATCACACATTTTGAGGACTTAAAATAATTAATCGCCACCTATATGTAGTTGAAACCAATTTACCCCAAGATTCTTTTCTTTATCTGTTGGACTGAGTTGCACATATTCATCTTGATTCAGCTGTGGGATTGAACTTTGTTTGCACCTGCGTTATGACTCTCAATTTTCAACTCTGTTATAAACTAAGCAGGTTATCTTTGCAGCATTTTGAAGATTTCGTCGCTGGTCATTTTCGCAAGCGTGGACGACCTATCCTTGTTGCATGTAGGGCTTACTTGGATGGTGCGCAGGTTGGATGTTTAGCTGGAGGAGGTGTACAGGATGTCGATGAAGGCGACAAGAGTTGTTCACCTGACTTCAGAAAATCACTGAATTTGCTCTTTAATGACCTGTTGAAGGAGTTTAAAGCAAAAGGAGCTGATTGTGATGGATTTCTTCCTCATCAAAATCAAGACAGAATCATCAATGGAGCAGCAGACACCACCCTTAGGCTATAAGATACCTGTTTGGATGCAGAAATTATCTTGCAGTGGAGAGAAGACAGTCTTAACTATAGTTAGTTCGAGGAAACCTTGTAACTAGGGCACGTGCATATCTAGATTGCTCTTTTGATGCTTTGATTTGTTGGTTATAGGAACTGCTTAGATACTTTATAGCATTTCTAGGTGCAGTTGGATGGTATTTATAGGTAAAATGTTCCTTTCCCCCCCTCTTGGGGATATGTATAGGTCTGCTTCAGTTAGGTAAAGTTATTGCTCTAAGGCTGGAAACTATGGGGCGCTTCACTTCAGGTATCAAGATTTCTTGTGTCATTTCATCTGTGCCATCGTCGTATTATGTTTTCTTATGTTAGAAATGTTTGCAGATAGAAGAAATGATAGTGGCGGAATTTACCGGTCCTTGTAATTTATGCATAGGTGTACTAATCACTATAGTTTTTCTCCATTAGCAAAAAAGAAACGAAACAAAAAAGAAAATAGTTGTGTATAAAACATATATGTTTTAAAGTATCTAGCCACCAACTTATTGCGATTTAGTTCATAATGATCTATTCTATTCTTTAAGGTCTCGTTTGGCAAAGGGTTAATAAAGAGGGATTAAGGAGAAGGATTAACATAATTAGCCTATTTGATAATCTGAAGGACTAAATTATTAATCCGTTATATAAATTATATATTAACCCTTATGATCATTTTTAGTGTTAACTCTTAATCCTTCTAAATAGGAGTATTAGTAAACCCCTTATTTTGAGGGGTTAACTTATTTTAATCCCTCTAAAGGGATTAGCTTAACATTTCTATATATTTTGTGTTTGGCAAATTATAGAGAGTTAACTCATTTTAACCATATATAGATTTTTTGTGTTTGGCTGGTTAAGAAGGGGTTAAGTTTACTTAACCTCTCACTTAACCTTTTGCCAAACGACACCTAAGGTTTTGCTCCGGTTAATTATGCGATCGTGTCTGAAAAATGCCGCGGTTAGTTTCTTATTGTTATGATAATCGATCCGTTACCCACGTCTAGTATATATTTTATTATTATGTCATATAGAGCTAGTATTCAACATTCTCATTCAGGAATTCTTGCCTATTACATTTTTAATGATGAACGAGTTACAATATAACATATAAACATCTTATTAGACGCACCAATTTATGTGAATCGAGTGCAAAAACATTCCTACTCCTCACCCTTTCAGTTGTATGAGACAAAAGCAAAGAGCTATGCAAACGTTTTCAAGAGAAAAATAAAAAAAAAGCTTAATTTAGCTAGGATTTTCAAACAATTGAATTTGCTATTACGTTGCCGAATCTTGTAAGTCGTCTGCGATTAGCTTGCCCAACAGCAATTTTAATGATTCGAGGGCTAATTTCAGTGTCACAAAAAACTTCAAGGGTCTTCGGGTCAAAAATCCCAACTAGTCGGCTAAGGGGGTGTTTGGTTCGGCTAAATTTTTGGAAATCATGCAGTTTTGGAACAAAAAGTAGGTTTTTTGACATTTTTGGATTCCAAAACTGTCATTTGGTTCAACTTTTTTTTTTTAAGAATGCATTTCTTAAAAGCTGACATGGCAACACACTTTATGGAAAAACCAAATCCATTTTTAAAGCTCTGAAATGGGCTGAAAATCTGACAACTAATTGACAACTTATCAATTACTCTTACAATTCCTTAAATTTTTTGGAAATGAAACAAACATGAGTTTTAGAAATGCTTTCCTATTCTTCACTTCATCATTCTATACCAAACACAAGTTATGAATTCCTGTATGATCCAATTTTTTTTTTAGAAATGGTTATTTGCCTTGGATTCTATTTCCATTATTTTATGGAAACGAACCAAACACCCCCTAAAACGAGGGCCGAGACCCAATGTCATTCAAAGCCCATCACCATTCAGACGTCTAGGGTTAGTCCCTCGTACCCCCGCCCCCAGTCACACGCCGCCGCCGGCCAAAAAGGTGAAGTTCCTGAAAGGCCGAACAAGGCGGTGATCTCCTCCAGGCCGCTGTCGCCGGGACGGCAAGGCCGGTCATACGTCTAAGAATCTCGACGACGGCACCCGCGACCTCGCCTACGGCCACTCGGCTCGTCGCCGGGTTCGCCAAGTTACCGAAGACAGGTCATTCCGGAAGCGAAAAAAAAAAACCTCGCAAGCAAGACCGCCAAGAAGTCCAGGGTCAGGCTCTTCTGAGTCGTGAAACTTACTCGCACGTGATGCCGCGGAGGACACCCTTCCGACTGGAGATCTCCAAGATTCGTCCGTCTTCCGCCGACGCGCTGCAGACGCGGGACAGGGAAGGTGGGAGTGCGTCGAAGGAGGTCAAGAAGAGGTTCGAGGAGAGGTTCAAGACTGGGAAGAACAGGTGGTTCTTTACCAAGCTCAGGTTTTAGAGAGGTACCTTCTTAGGGTTTCTTGTTTTTTTTCTTTCTGTGGGATTTTTGTTTGCTTCGATTTGGTTATGGATCTCGGATATTTGCTCTATCTCAATGGATGCGACTGCTTGTTTTGTTTAATCGTTTCTTTTTAACATTTGCGATGGGGTTTGATCTGGATTGATACAATAAAGAGTGTTTCTTGATGAATTAACAGTTACTTATAACCACTGTATGGTGAAAAAAACAATGTCAATGGCTTGAGGGACTAATTTTAAAATATTAAATTAAATGTCTAATAA